ATCCAAACAAACATAGCAAGCAACTGAGCTACTAGTATATGTCTGTGTTAAAACACACGAAAGGACTCTAAAGCACATTTCACTCTGATTGGGCAGAAAAACACAAAGATTTTCTGGCACCAATCAGATGGCAGAATGACTGTGACCGTTTGGAACTAGTCTTGTAAGACAATGTCCCCAGGGGCTCTTCTTGCCCTAACTTGAAATCGACCCACAACCCCTGGGTCTCCGAGGATGGCTGTCATATTGCAAGGAGAGATTAGATGCTAATCAGTCTTAAGGGTTATCCCTCTCACTCCAAGATTTCATTAGCAATTCTCCTTACTGTCTGCCCTACAATTCTAATGATGTTAGCTTGGAGAATTTGGTATTGGATCAACTGATAATCCCCTGATTTTCGTTTTTCGTTTTTCTCATCACTTATCTGCTTGATAATTTTGTATTGATATTGTAAGGAATAATTCTGTGATGGTCACTCATCTTGTTCGTTAAGGCCATGAGAATAACTTAGAGGAAATTATTGCCGCCTTGATAAGCTCCGATTGTTAAACTAATTCTCCTTATCAGTAACAAAGGAAATGTATAGAGAACAGTATGGAGAATGCACTAAAGGGTTAGAAGAAGACAGGATAAAGAAGAAATCTCTGTTAAATCAATAAATGAATTTCAACAAATGCACCTAAATTTCTACTGAATTTTTGAAATGAAAATGATCTTCTTAGAACTACTCAACAAAACTCTGTTGATAAAATTTAAAACAAACATACAGCTTGTGTCTTGATGCATGGTGATCACTATGCAAGATAGTGTCCAGTTGCCAAGAAGGGTTGAACTCCCATACATCTGGAGCTCTGAAGAGAAACACTGCCACAAACACTGCGGCCACTACAACGACATCTTGAGCTCGTACTTTGGTGATGTCAACTGGCAATAGTTTCAAAGGATCATTCATAATTTTTATCTGAAGAAAATTACAAACATATAGTTAAAGAAAAAAGAAAAAAAACAGACATGAAAATCAGTACAATTATATCAGTACAATTATAATCTAGTTTTACTGTATTTGTAATCTTTGAATGGTTACATTGTTCGACTAGTTAGTTCTATTTTTAATCTCTATGGCTCAGAATGGATTACTTACTAGCTTTGGTTTTGAGGGCCACTGGTTTATCAGCGCAAGCTGTTATGTGTATACCCTCTAAATAAAGTCGATTATTATTATTAGCAGTAGTACATGAAACGGTGATTTCTGGAAAATTGAGGGACTAAACTTGAGTGATCAATTATTTTCAACTCACCTTGTCGTTAACATCTTAACATAACATCTTAAGCATGATTTTCAGCTGAAAAATCTCTGTTTCGTTCCATTCCAAGTGCCACCGATACGAAATACGCGCCATATTGAATCTTATTATCCCGGTCAAATATGGGTATGATTACCTAATATGGACGATAAAGAAATAAACCAATGGGAATGCGTGATGGGTAGCGTCTCTGTAGTGCGGTTAGTTTGAAATTAACGATCGAACAGGAGTGGACGTCTTTAACCGAATAGCGAAGTCGAGTTATTTTCTCGATTGATACGTTTGGATTTTGTTTTGTCTCCTAGTTTTACAAAGTACAGAGTATTTAAGAGTTTCCGAAGTTTGTACTTTCGAGAATGGAAGAATTTGTTGATCCCAGTTACGAATACGATGCGCCGATGTTTGTCGACTTCTCTAAAGGCGCAGGAGAAATTGACCCTGAAGCTGATAGGTGGTTTGGTAAGTTATTAATGTTTTGATTGGCGAAATTTTGTGCACTTTGTTATACGATTGAAGTTATTCTAAAATTTTTGTTCTTCAATCTAAGATGGAAAAGTAGCCGATGAAGGCGGCTGGTTGATCGAAGAAGATTCCTGTGATCAGCGATCTAATGAACCAAACTGCGAAGCATTCAAAATATCTGAGGAAGAAGCCAAAGGAAGCTCTCCTACCAAGAACGATGAACCACCTGTGGAGCAGAAAACTGATGTAGAACCATTACCCGAAGCTTCTCCAAAAAAATCAGCTCCTAAAAACTGTGTGACTTCATGGTCAGAGTGGGTAACAAAAACCCAAACATCGACGAACAAACAGGTCAAGACAGAAAGTGCCCCTCGTCAGTCTCAAGTCAAAAAGTAAACGTTCATTCTTGTTGTTTCTGTTTATTTGCAGTTGAGGTATATTTTGCAACACTACTTTACAGATATAAGTAAAGCAAACATACCACTAATTTCCGTGCAAGTATTACCCTAAAGCCAACAGGTGAACATGCTTTGCGCGAACGTCAATCGTACGTGTAGTTGTACGATACGAGGGAAATCTGTACCAGAGTAGTCTCCTAATACGCTTTCTCTTCCTAGAAAACGAGAGAAAAAGGTACCCGAAAGAAGATCAGCTCGTCTAAGAACGTTGTCAACGTGTTCTATTACATCGACATCATCCGCCGTTTCAAGTTGTTCCTCTGACGGTGGTCCAGCGAAGAAAGTTCCAAAGATCAAAGCACCATTGACATTAACTGTTCCAGATACGCCAAATTTTATGAGGTGACATTACGAAAACAGCTATGTTCAATGCCCATTTTGTTTGTATGGTCATACTTTACGGAAATTCACTCCTGGATGTGATTATGTAACTAATATAACTTCTCCCTGTAAAGTCCATACATTATCCAGCAAACAGGTAATGAGAATACTCAAACTTATCAGGTAGATGTTGTCAACTTGATCTAGCACCATCTTCATGGATTTCATTTAGATAGAAATGTGTAGCAGCTAGAGGGTAAGAATCGACAATTGAATCTTGCAAGTGTTTAAAAATGTAAAAAGTGTTGTCAGGAGATGTCATGAGTTTTATAGAAATTGGTTGCCTTTGACTGTTGTTATTTTTGAAACAATAACAAAAAATAACAACAGTCAGAGGCAACCAATTTCTATAAAACTCATGAATCTTGGAAGTAATTGGTTTAATTACAAACCTCTCTGGAAAATTGCATAGGCCTCTGTTTACAATGTATGTGCTTTTCAGTGCTCAGGTTTCATTCATCATTTGTGATAATCCCAACCAATCTTGCTTTCTAATGATACTCATGCCTGCAATTCTAACTTACAACCTCAGTACAATGAATAAAAGGCACCATATAGATTTTCATCCACAAATGCCAAACATAATCAGCTAACAAGTGTATTTCACCCCTTATTTGTTTGACATAATTTTTAGGAGGATTGCTCAATCCAAAGTTGATAAAACCCAAGCACAGAAAACAAGGGAAGAACAGGAGCTGCAGGTCATTGCACAGAAACAAAAAGAAACTATGGAAAAACTCAAACAGAGTAAAGTTTCCATGAAGAAAGCTCTTGCAGGGCAGTCATACATGCCTTGTAGATCAGCTGTTGACAACCTTACTCGAGCCAAAGAA